AGATCCGAGGGAAGATTTACAAGTTTATTACACAGCAAATAAATGCAACGGTATATACAATATACTGTTGCATTTACACAGCAAATAAATGCAAACGGGAACGAGTGACACTAAACAATAAATAAGAAAACAAAGCTCCAATGAGCTAAATGATGTAACAAGATTAAAATGGATTAGGAGAAAGTACTTAACACTAAAGGATAACCTACAGACAGAAATAATTCAGTAAAAGAAAGGAAACAAACAAAGTACTTGAAAACAGGAAATTTTGTGACAGAAACTATCAAAAATAGTGATTGCTACACAAGGCATGAATTCAACAAAGACTGCTAGCCAGGCTTAATATTACAACTTGAGCTAATACAGTATAAAACAGTGAAAGGGGAACATGAAATTACTAGACTAAGTGTAATGAACCCATAATTTGGTACTGAAAACACAGGAATCATGGCAACAATGAATTGGAAGCAGGTAAGCAAAATATTACAGCTGCTAATACAAAAACAATTGCAGTTTATATAGCAAAGAAATTACATGCTGTGTGACAAAGGTCAGAGTAAATAAATAAAATACAGTAGTAAGATAAAAGAAATATGTGGCTAAACTAAGCAAATTCTAACCCGAAAATCACTACAAAAATACAAATGGAAACAACTACATGCTAAGCTTAGGGCTCAAACAAACATAAAATACTGAAACATACCAAAAGCTAGTATAGCTTCGAATCCGCTTTAACGCCACTCTCAGGAAGGCAACAAATCAACTGAACTTACCAAGCAAACAGTTGTAACTTATAGTAAAATACAGGAAAAGGTAAAAATACTTAAAACCAAATATGGGCTAGGAGCGGCCAATTAAACAGGAATTACATAAGGGAAATCGGTGTTTACTCTTACACAACAGGACAAGGGTAGGTACAGGAATGATACAATTAACACATTACGAAAATTACTGACAAATCACTACAATTCCAGAAAATAAAATAAACAGAACAAACATGTTTTAAGTAGAAAATAAGCCTAAGTGACTCTGTCACACATGTTCCCACCAATGGCATACCTCAGCTTCTATATTTAAACCCACATACAACCCAAAATTGCTCCATTCGCTCTGACGAAGGGCTAACGCTCAATACGTCAGCTTTTTTACTTGTTATGGTGGCCAATTTACAATTTCAACTGGGTTGATATAACCAAATTACCTTGATCTTTGTTAAACATAATCATGTTGAATTGCTTTTTGGAGGGGTTGTCTGATGTTGTTGTGATAGTCTTTTGTAAACTTCTATCAACATAAAAGAGGCTACAAAAGAACTGTTCGGAGAGATAGAAGACAACAAAGGGGCAATAATTATCTAAGGGGATCTATGGATTACTACGCGAGGAAAAAGATTAAAACGGATGAAACATAATGGATTTTACACTTATTAAGCTTAAATTAATCAAGATGCACACAAATTGTGATGTAGTTCCTTTGTGCAATTAACAGAGATGCATGTTATAGGCACTAGAAGTGGGTAGGGGGAAACAAATTTCTTAACTTTATTTATTAACCCTTTAACTGCCAAGATCTGCTTGTTAATTCTCCCCTTTGGCTGCTCAACATCTCTTTGTAAATTAGTAATAAGAATTTGAGTTAGATCAAAACAAAAACTTCTTTCTGATAAGTTTCAGTATTCTCATAACCTGTTTACTGGATAATATATGGATACTTTAGAGAGAGGTTACATGTTAATCACTTTTAGGGGTTAAAGGGTTAACTTTGAAACAACCCTTAGATAACTAGGTAGGTCGACCCTAACTCCCAAGATATGATTGTTCATTCTCCCCTCTACCTGTAACACATTTCCTTGTGAATTAGTCGGGAGGATTTGGTGTTAGATAAAGACAACAACTTCTACTTGATAAGTTTGACTATTCTCATTACCTGTCTGCAAGATAATGTATGATTATTGAAGGGAGAAGCTACAGGTGAATCACTTGTTAGTACTCTTCTTATTCTTCAAATCTGTGACTTAGTTGAATACTGTTTCATTTTATTGCAGATCAAGGGTTCGTTTATCTTGGGAAACCCACTATGTTGGTGACTTGAGGTAGGGTACTGGAGTGGTAGAAGATGGTCTCTACAGGATTCAAATTGATAATCTACGTTGTTAATTCCAAACATCTCTCATAATTTTTTCCCTGAGAATTTGATGTTAAATCAAGCAGTATCCCATAGGTTGATGTTTGTCTCAGAGAATTTATTAACAATGTAAGGAGAATTGACCCACTGATCAGCCCTGGGAGAGAAGGAGTTGACTTAAGTGCTAAATTACTCACAGCTGATTGCTTAAATGAGCTGTGCAACCCATTTCTTTTTCCTCCAGTCACAAAATTGCTGCATTGACACACTCTGACAACAAGAAACCATCCCAAACATTTACTTGGGTTATACCAAAATAGTATACTCAGTCATTCTGATGACATCTGTGGTATACAGTCTTTCAAGACTCTCCTACAACTTTCCACTGATTAATATAACTGGTTTAAATTTCTTTTTCTCTAACAGAGCTGTGAATAATGGAATATTGGACACATATCAATTGAAATCTCTAGATGCATTGTTGGGTAAGGTTTTTTTTTTTTTTCTTGTCTAAAGTGATTTTCAATTCCAGTTCTGTCACCTTTTCATTTTTCACTTGGCAGTCATCAGTGTTTGCTTCAACCCTTTGATCTGAGGGTGATTAGCAGCTTATTTCTCCTAACAGTATTACCCCTAAATTACACATTAAGGTCATGAGAAGAAAAAAAGTGATCACTAACCAAAGAAGCTCTTGATTGTTAAACAAATTCTCCTTGCAGCATCTTAGTAATTGTATAGGGTACAGTACGGAGAATATGCATACTGATGTTTTAATTGGTATAAAGGATTGATAATTGTATTGAACCTGACTGAGTCAAGGCAGTAACCATTGCACACACCAACCCGTGAGCTCAGTGATATCCTCCCCCCCCCCCCACCACAAAAAAAAAAAACTTGATTTGCCGTAAGAGGATGTTGTAAGTACCTTAATAACATTACTGCACAGTGGCCTATTCTGAAAGTTGGAAATCTTGCACTCTTTTAACTTAGTATACATATCTGGGTTTAATGTTTTACACAGAGGCTCCTATAGAGGAAATGGCTGTCATAAAAAGAGATGGAAAACTGTTTGTTGATGCCTTTGATGGCAGTGGAGAGAACATTGTTACAGCAGACCAGCCAATCTCCGAGAGTGGAAGAGCACGTAAGGGAGTACTGCTGTCCTATTCTTTAATGAACTGTCAATGTCAGTATAGTGTTTTCTATTCTTTAAAAGATAGCAATAAGAGGTAGCTAGGTGAGAGTATTTTGGTTAATCTTTTTTTTTTTTTTTAATTCTTCAATAAATTCAACAAACTCATAACTTTCAATTTTTGGAGAAATATTCTTGATGAACTCAAGTGCGTGAAGTGTTTAGGTAATCTCATCTCTCTCATGTAAAAACCATTAATGAATTTGAACAGTAACAATCGCACATTTGTGCAAGGCATGATAAACTTAAGCCAGCGCTTTGATCAGGTGTAGTTCAATTTTCACGTTTTCTCGCTGCTGTGATATATTTTGAAAGAGTGTCAACCATCCTCTTTGATTGTGTTTTAAAAAATCCAATCTTTCTTTTTCAGCCGACAACTTTGCTGTGAGAGAGCCCTATGATCGCATTATTCGCTGCTTAGGTTTCAAGGTATACACCTTACAATCAGTTTGCATATTCTCTATAATGTTATCTATACATTTTCTAAGGAGCTGACAAGGAGAATTTGTTCAACAATCAAGAGCTTCGTTTGTTTGTGATCATTTCCTTTATTCTCATGACCTTAATGTTTGATTCAGGGGGGGATGTTGTAAGGAGAAATTAGACGTTATTCACTCTTAAGGGGTCAAAGGGGTAAACTAATAGCACACTTCAAAATTTCAACGGAAGAGAGTGACAATTATTTTTTATCTGGACATGTGACAATTGAAATTATTTCTACCAGATTAATAAGTGACAATTTATAGCATTATAGATTTTCTGGGGCTTTTTTTAAGAGTCTAAGCTTTTTTTGTCTTGGGGACTTCCCCTTGTATTTCAGTTTGATTTATACTACACTGGTGAATAGTGCCTAAAAGCAGATTGGCTAGTTCGCAAGTGATTAGCAAGCACCATTCACCTCTGAGCAACCGAAGAGACAAAATCGCGCGGCAAGATTAGTTATTCGCTATTACATCCTATTAACAGAAATTAACTATGTTCTTGGTCTCACTATGATATTTTCTAAAACAATTATTCACCTCCACTTCAATGAGTCATTATTTTTAAATATATGGCATTGACTAATTTGGAAGATAACTTACGGGAAGTTATTGATAGCTGTGCTAAGAAGTTCCTTCTCTTTTTATCAGTTCGACTTTTCCATATTTGACAACACAACCAAGCCAAGACCAAGCAGAGGAAAGCGATCTAAAAAGTACCCAGCTATCAAACCGAGCTATGAGTCTACTTCAATTCCAAGACTTTATTTTGGTAGGTTTGTCAGGAATCTTCGGCGTAACGGTCACACAGTTTGTTCTCCAACAAGTTAAAGCATCTGCTGATACAACTATCGCACGCTTTTTGAAAAGTTTCGCGCACAAGATTTAAAAGCTACCTTATCTTTACTGTTTGCCATACATTTCTTCTAAAATAAATCTAAGAAATTGATTTTGAATGCGATGTTTTTTTTTTTTTTTGCTTTGCAGCTGGAACAAACACCCATTCTGTTGACTTCCGAAAATCAGCTGGAGGATTCATTCATGGCTTTCGATACACCGGTACATTTGATGTAAACTTGACTGAATCAGACATTGATATCTTAGCTAGTTCTAGAAACACGGTTTAGGCTAGAGCACGCATCAAAGGTACTACAGCGAAAAATTAGGGAAGGAAACGGTTTAAAAACATGATCACGTCAAGTTTAAACTATGGAGACATGTTATTTTAGCGTTTCTCAGCTTAGCCAAGGCTTTACAGTTTCAGCGTAGCTCTTGCAATTGGTTCTGTTTTGAGTCAGACTTCAAAACCTGAACAATCTTCGATAGGGTGTTGATTCGGGTGTTACGAAAACTAAGACCCTCGAAAACTAAGACCTAAGACCTAAGACCCCTAAAATCGAATCCGTCGAAATATAAAGTCAAACTGTAATCAAAATAGGTCTAATCTGTCAAATTATCTCCTGTCCGATCCTTTCCACCGAGTGTTAGGTCAAATTAAACGTAAATTTAGGGGTCTTAGTTTCGAAGACCCCCACCAAACCAATCTGTAAAATTTCTACAAAGTCGAATTACGACTGTTCAAAGACTATAATCCGTAAAACAACCAAAAACTACTATCATACGCGTGCTGATCTACGATCTGCTTTTTAATGAGTGATTTTAGCGATTATCCCTAACAGACTGTTTCTCCCCTACCCCTCATCTACCTTTGCATTGTAACCCAGTGATCTCCAGGGTGGTAACGATAAAAATAAACTCTAGAAAAACGCAATGTAACCCTTTTTATAAAAGCACTTTTCTATCTATTACCTGGCCAGAAAAGGAAAAAAAATCCGTATTTTTGTGTGATGTTTAATCGATAACGCCTTTGACCACTTGATGATCAGACATGTAGGTCGCAGCGACATGTCAGCCCGCAACGAAGACAAAAATCCATCTTCGGTGGAAAACCAATTTTATGATTTTAAGAATAAACAACCAAAATTCTAGACCAATAAGGGTGAGGCATATTTTCAGTGTACAATTATACGTAGATGGTCTATGGCTTTCACCCTCTTTATAAAGCTACAATGCTGATAATATATGTCTGCAAATTATTAGAAGAAGGCGTATCAGATAACGGCGAATTATGCGATTACCTCGGTCTGTATATTGTGAGATTTCACGCCACTAACTCGGTCTGTATATTGTACGATTTAACGCCGTTAGTTAACGGCGTAAAATCATACACTAAATATATTAACTACTATATCTAACACAAATACTTAGTAAAAGAAATAACGCCGTTAGTTAATGGCGTAAAATCTTCCAATATATATAACAGACTGGACGAAATTACGCCGTTAGTTAACGGCGTAAAATCTTCCAATATATAGAACAGACTGGACGAAATTACGCCGTTAGTTAACGACGTAAAATCTCCCAATATATACACAGACTAAACCAAGACCCCTCTTAGTTTTCGTAATTACGAAAACTAAGACCTTTACCAAACCATTCTGTAAAATTTCTACAAAGTCGAATTACCATCATACTTGACGATCAGGCGGAGACTTTACGCCGTTAACTAACGGCGTAATTTCGTTCAGTCAGTGTTATATATAGTGGGGGATTTTACGCCGTTAACAAACAGCGTAATTTCCTTTAACCGGTAGTTTATATAATGGTAGATTTTACGCCGTTAACGGCGTAAAATCGCACAACAAGAACATATCCATGTATATATATATATATATACGGAATGAAAAGGTACACCAAACGATGAGCTCCCAGTAGAAGGATCCAAGGAGGATACAGTGCTTCAATGTAAATTTTAAGTAAGTGTAAAACGATGAAACATGAAGCAAACTTCTAACTGTTCCAGCTTTAATGTGGCGACGTTTCGGCCTTCGGCCTTCTTCAGGTGGAACGTATTTACATAAAAACTAAAAACTAAAAATCCTAGTAGGTTTATAGAATGACCTGAATTTATACTAAACGTAAGAAATATAAATANGTCTAGCACGCGTATGATAGTAGTTTTTGGTTGTTTTACGGATTATAGTCTTTGAACGGTCGTAATTCGACTTTGTAGAAATTTTACAGATTGGTTTGGTGGGGTCTTCGTTTTCGTAACGACGAAAACTATAAGGGGTCTTTGTTTTCGAAATTACGAAAACCAAGACCCTAAATTTACCGTGACATTTGACTTAAAACTCGGTGGAAAGGATCAGACAGTAGATAATTTGACAGATTAGACCTATTTTGGTTACAATTTGACTTTATGTTTCGACGGATTCGATTTTATGGGGTCATAGTTTTCGTAAAACCCTTTTGATTCTGTTATTTCCACCGCAGTTGCAGGCTTAGGCCAGCCTTCCACTTTCAGCGTGGAAAAATAAAACGATCCCGATCGCAAGTTATTTTAATTCTTTTAGACTTGTTAGTGACTGTTTTTGGACTGGCGTTAAATAGAATTCCCGGGGATCAAGAAGAACATGATTTAATGGCAACAGAAGAATTACATAACAGTAGAATTAGATAATCAGTGGCTGTAAAAAAGAAAATTACAATTAGTAAAATAGTCGACTTACATTTGTCCAAGCGTGTCCTCGTTAACTTTGGCATTCGTAAGACACAGGCACAAAGCCTAAAAATCCTTCGAACATTCAGTAAACACACTTCCCACATTATCCTTTGGCAAAACTAAAACCGGATAGTCTAGCACGAGGTCTTACATAACCGGGGTTAATATTTCAAATGTTTCTTGTCAATCATCGATACGTTTCTCAATCACCGGAACAGTTTTGACCTGTGGCATAATACTTTGTTCTTCTGCAGCACGGACTCTTCATCGTGTGTTGGAATGGCGTAACCATAAAGTAGTCTGGCCTCATGTGACAGTAGCCATTGCAGAAGTTGTAAACGTGATACTTAGAAGGATTAATGAGGCATCGGTTCGTTTTTTTTTTTATTTTGGTTTCTCTTAGCGAGTTTCATTCAGTTTTTCAACCGATTTTCAAACTAAAGAAATTTTCGCTAGATATTAATTAGTGTCCATCTGTTAATCAAGGTCCATTTTCAAGTTTCAGTTTCCAGCAAATGGTTTAAAAACAGTTGTAACAGTTCATCGATCGTGTTGTGTATTTGACTAGGTGAGAGTGACTGACTTTTCGAAAACCTTAGTGGAAGTCATCATCAGAGTCGTGTGACTCCGATGATGTCATCGCCTGCTTGACTCTGATGTTGACATCCACTCAAATTATCCTCGAATTGTCAGTAATTGAAACTGACAAAAGGACTGTTCTCGCACGAGCAGAAAGAACAATCAATTGAATTTTCATACTCTAAAGTGAATTTTTAGTTTGAACTTGGATTTTATCAGCGGTCGTTAAAATATATAATTCACCTCGCGTAAATTTCGTACGTGTTTAAAATGCGCGCCAACCTTTTTTCCTGATTCCAACAGGGGATTTATCAGATGTTTGGTGTCCTGGGAGAAGTCATGATACTGCGTGAGTTTAAATTTTAGAATGACACCTTTGAAAAGGAACCTTGTGGAAGAAAGACAGATTGCCAATTACATATTCATGGAGCAGACGTAAAATAACAACAACAACAACAACAGCTTTATTACCCCATAATTTGGGAATTACAGTCATTTGTAAAAAGCTGATTTGATAAACTTGTTTGAGGGCTACAACACTAACGTTAGAAAAAAGTGGGTTTTTCGGGCTGAATAATTTTGAGGCATATTAGAAAAAATAGAATTAGGGGAAATTTACAACAATCGTCGAGAGAAGCGATGTAAAATCAATGCATTGTGGGATCGTTTTCGACACTCAATGGGCCATTTTACCGTTGTACACTTAGTTGCCAAGCCTTTGATTTGCGGGACTGAGGCTGGAGGTGACCTTGTTGTGATAGAGACCAGTATCTAGTTAGCGTGATATTAAAATAATTAACATTTGAAAAGCAGCAACGGTTTTATTATAACAAGGTCACCCTTAGCCTCACTTCTGTTCAAAGGCTTGGCAACCAAGCACACGACTGTAAAAAGCATCCACCTTACTTAGCTCAGTGTAGGATTTAGAAATAGGTATGATCTGTGATGGTTTTGTGCAATTAGGAAAACAAGGATGTTAGTTATTGCTTTCCTAAGGAGAACACAAAGTATCAGTTACATTTGATATTATGCTTTATTACACGACTCGGGCAGTCAGAGGGCCAATAACTAACATCAACCAATCAAAATGCTCTATTGCCGGTCCAATATTCTCTAAGTATTAGACCGGGCACTGTCCCGAATGGTCCCGAATGATACCGCACTTGTGTCCCTTTGAACTTCAGTCGTATAATAAATCTCTTATTAACCAAGCTTGCTCGAGACCGTACTGGAAGAATATCGGCCCTCGGTCTTTTTTGTACGGACCTCGCTGCGCTCGGTCCGTACTGTCAAGACCTCGGGCCGATATTCTCCCAGTACGGCCCTCGCGCTTGGTTAATAAGATATAT